TTAAAATTTGAGTAGCCTTAATATAAATGCTTACTTTTGTTCTGTTGATTTATTCATTTATTGCATATCCAAATTTTTCATTCCACAAAAGGCCATTGATGCCATCTTGCATGAAATTTATCAAAAGGAATGAAGATAAAGTAAGCACAAGTTAATGACTACACATCCAGTTCCAGCAAATATTAATATTAGTGAATATTTTATTTCACTCATAATATCTAATAAGATAATTTTTATTTGTAGCATTTCAGTTTAGCAATTATACGTATTGTCAAGCTTTTGTTTTGCTTTTCTTGTCATTGATATACTCGTTTCTTAAAAGCTCACATTTCACAAAATTTGGTGAACTTTTTTTGTTTCCAAATGATAAAACCAAGAGATTAGCATTTTGTTTTTGAGCTGTAGTTCAGTCACAATACATTCCCTGAACTATTCTTAATTGGATTTGTGGGACACTGTCCCTGACGCATGAGAAGTTTCTCCATTCCACAGTTCTCTCACTCCAACTTTAAATTGCATTGGGAGTTGGGGAACAATTACAGTAACAGTTGCATCACAAATATTTACTCTTTCACATCTATGGAATTGGGCATAGTTTGTAGTATTTGACCTTAATTCAGAATTCTGTCTTAAATACCAAGAAAAAAGTACTTGGTTACTCCACAAGGTAGAAGTAATTTATTTGTATAAAGGTAAGATCTGAATCCTGGGAAATTTAATCTTAATTAAATCCTATATATAGTTAGTCAGTAGCAAACACGTACTTGTAACATGAATAACATCAAGCAATACAGATAACAATTTATTTTTACCATAATTGTGATTTATTATTTCATTATTTTATAATGTCTATCTTTTTGGCCATTTCCATATACTGTTTTGTTATTATTAATATGTTTACAAATAAGAAAACTGAGCTAAAATTTAACAATCAAGGAGACTTCAACCAAAGACTGATTTTAGTTTGAGACATTTTTTCACCATGATAAACCATGTCATATATAATTTTATTTCCAAATAAATACAAAGTAGCCTCTCTATCTGTAGTGCTTAAGCTGTTATATAAGATGGCAGCCCTGTTAGTGTAGATGGAAAGATATTTTAAATAAAAGTTAGAACCTGCTTTAAACACGCCGTCTGGGAGTACTTAGTAGTTCTGTTTGACTCCATAAATGCTATGCAAAGAAATTAAGAGTCTATAAAGTATGCTTTCACCAGTTTAGGCAAAACCAACTTACGGCTTGTGTTACAAGCAGTGTAGAGCAATGAGAAAGGAGAGAAAGGAAACTTCTTCTCCGTGTTTCTTTTCTCTCAGTTTACAAGATAACCAATTACAAGTGCTAGAAGCAGGAGACCAAAGGCAGCAAAGCTGGTCTGGTTCATGGTAGGCTTAAATTGGTCAAAGAGAAAGCATCCAGAGAACCAGTTGAGGAAATCTAGCTTCAATGTCATTACACTGTCTGTTGGAAGCTCTTGGCTTCTTCTTGCTTGCCCCCAAGGGTGTTTGATCTGGAACATTGCATTTGTCATGGTAAGTCAATATCTTGCTGTCTTTGTTTTGCAGTTGTGACTGGATTGATCACAGTGCCTCATGTCTTTTTTCCAACATACTTCCTGAGCAGATTCTGAATTTCAGTTTGGAATTTTAGCTCGGTTTTCTTATTTGCAAGCATATTAATAATAACAAAACAGTATATGGAAATGGCCAAAAAGATAGACATTATAAAATAAGTATAGAATAATGGTACATTTTTTGTTATTTAGAAGGCAAAGATCTGGGTTTATTTCAGCAACATCAATTACTTGCCATTACTTCTGTCTTGATGAATTTAAATTTTTTTTCATAGAAAACATGGAGTCAGTCGAGACTATCCCATGATTTATCTGAGATATATAAGCTTGTAGAATTTGGATTCATCAAGTCTGACAAAACGAGGTAATTTGTTTAGAGATGAGATTGCTAGACCACATGGAAGCTCTATTTTTAATCTTTTGAGAAACATCTAACACAGTCGCTGTACAAATTTATAGTCACACAAACATTGGACAAAAATTCTATATTGTTTTGAGAAGCAATTGGCATACTATTGGATAAAGAACCTTAGTAACAATAACAATTTTTTTCTTTTTTGAAAATTCCTTTTAAGAATTTATTATATTCTAGGTGATATTCTGATTCGATCACAACCAATTAAAATAATAGAATTACTCCATTTTCCATCATTATCTGCAAATTATGCTCAAGGCCATCTATTACCATTCTTTCAAAGAGAGAATAATGGTACGTTAAGGATAGGATAATGACTTTCTATGGGCACTGTTGAATGTGTAGAATCAGTTTTTTGTGATCCCAGTTTTTTGTTTTGTGACTCTCAGATTATTCCTTATTGTTAAATGATATCTTCTACACAGATACTAGCACTGGAAGTGGGAGAATAATGTAGAGAATGGGTGTTGAATTGCTTCTCAGCCTTTTGGCTAAGATCAAGTGAGAATGGGTGTTGATATCCTCCCATCTATTATACACCTACAGAACTTATACAAAGCTCAAAATATGCACACAGAGATGGTTCAGTTAACTAAATGAAATAAAAATTATCCCTCCCACCCTTTGTTTTTCTTTGAAGGGAATATTCTGTTCTTAAACTGAATCAATTACAAATATTAATCATTTTAGGTGTTTAAGTTTTTATCTCTAAAATTACATGCCTTATATATTCCTTTATTTTCTGGTACAATGTTGACATAATTCTACTATGGATTATTAACTAAATTATTACCTGAGAATATTCTATTGCTTGGTATCATCTGTTTTATAGTAACTTGTCCTCAGGTAGTAAAGAATCCACACAATGGACAATAGTAGAAATGGCGAAATTTTCAAAAGCCATCACCCCTCATAAAGCCTAAACTTGAGATTTTTACCAAAATCAAGTTGGGTAGCTATAATCTAGCTTTCACATCTAGAGAATAATTACTGAAAACTCCAATAATCTCAATATCCTAATTCTTTGAGTTGTATTTCTGCTGTAAAATATCAAAGCTCATGTTGTCAGGTTTGACGTGCTGCTGAAGTGACAAGGGCTAAACCCTTCATGAACCTGTTGTCCCTGCTCTCCTTCCCCCATCCCACAAAGAAGTGCCAAATTTTCTGATTCTAGAGGGCTTTTTTTCTTTTGTTTACGTTCCTGGTATACTCTCCTCAAACGTGCTTTTCTCTAATCCTTCCCTGAAAAGTCTGTCCAAAAATGATGTTTGGCCAATCTGCTTGTTAGTAATTTCGGATCTACTTGATTGAGATAACTTGTATCTTCAAAACCTGTCTAGTACTCTTTATGGTTCTGATTCCAGGATAAGTCTTCCTAAAGTCTCAGTCACATGATTTATTTCTCATAAAATTATTCTTTTGGGGAAAAAATCAATGATTTTCAAAATGTCAGAAATGTAACTTTATCTACCATGTATATTTTAGTGTATATTTTCTCAGAATCCTGCTTATGGATTATGTAATGGTACCACTTTATATTTTTTTCCATCTGTTTATAACTGTGCCCTGAAAATGACTTGGAATAAGGTAGGTAGGTCATCTTAAATTATTGTTCTGCTTTTAAAAATATGTCCTTTTGCAGTATTTTAAAGAGTAATTAACATTATGTCAATTTGGATTTTCTCTAAAGTAAAATAATTATGTTCTTGAATATTTAGTTTGTTATACTAATATACATAATAAGGCAAAAAGGAAGTGGATCTGCACCAGAAACATTTAGATTATCTGTCAAGTTAAAGTCTTGCGACTCAGGTGCTTTGGGGCCTAGTTAGGTAAGCATTAACTAGGTGCTTATGAGGAAAGCAGATTTCACTGGTACTTCTTGCAACACTAAAATCCTGAAGGTTTTCAAGATGCTTTGTATGTACACGAAAATTAGTGAACCCATGAACCAAACTTAGCATCAGAGATTTAATTTTCAAGCTCTACTTTATTACTTGTTATCTGGTCATCTTTGTCAAGTTAATCTTGCTAGTTGAAAATTATTATACGTAAAAATATTATACAGTGTAGAGTATGTATATGAGGGAACTTCAAAAATCATGTAAAAGAATTAAGACAGGTATATTTTGGTGCAGAATCTATAGAATAAAATACTTGAAGCTGGTCAATGTAACTATTTTGTTATAAAGCAGTCGTGTAAGATACTTGAAATTTGGGTTTAAAATGAGTTTAACAACCAACTATGCCTTTAGTAGAAGTGAAAGTTTATTGCATGCTATTCAGTTCATTGTGATATCTATAAATACATGACTAAACTGACTCTTGAAGTGATATGAAGTGTCAGAAATATATGTAGAAAAAACAAAATTGAAATTTTTGAATTTTATTTTAGTTGACATATTGTATATATTTACAGGATGCAGGATGATAATTTGCATGTGTACAATGTATAAAGATCAAATAAAGGTAATTAACACTTCAAATGTTGTAACATTCCTCATTTTTATATGTTGAGAAAATTTGTATTCTTTGCTTAAATAATAAATTGCTGTACATTTTATATTCCCCTTGGGCTATGGGACACAAGAAATCATTTTTTCTGTTGACCACTATTAGCACGGAATCAAAATTTCAGTGCTTGTTGGTCTTTTGCCCTCTCATCTGATTTTTTTTTCCCCCTGAGAAAATGAAATTAGAAATAAAATTGAATTTGACAATTTGGGTTTGTGGAAACTTAAACTTGGGAACATCTTTTTACCAATAGGAAATGTTATTACTACTTGTGTATCTGATCACATGTAGATCTCCACATGTTGGTAATGAGGCATGCATACCTCTGTTATTTCTAATTTTGTCATATTTTATTCTAGTCAGGCACATTATTGAAGATAACTGGATCTCAGATCACCAAGCAAATATTCTTCCTAATTTCTAAAATTAGGGTTGTTCACATCGTTACTAGCATTTATTTCTTGACTGTACATTAATGTTTGCCTTAGACAACTTGAAAGATGATATGGATAACATTAACCAGACATCAGTTTCAGATTTTCTTCTTCTGGGTCTTTCTGGATACCCAACAATTGAGATAATTTTCTTTGCTGTGATTTTAGTCATGTACCTAATGATTCTAATTGGCAATGGTGTTCTGATTGTAGCAAGCATCTTGGACTCTCGCCTTCACACTCCCATGTACTTCTTCCTGGGAAACCTCTCTTTTCTCTATCTGCTATACATCCTCTTCAGTTCCCTCAACTTTGGTGAGCTTAATCACAAAGAAAAGAAACATTTCCTTCTACGGCTGTGCAGTGCAGATGTTCTTTGGCTTTGCAATGGGATCCACAGAATGTTTGCTTCTTGGTGTGATGGCTTTTGATCGGTATGTGGCCATCTGTAACCCTCTGAGATATCCGGTCATCATGAGCAAGGTGGTTTATGTACTGATGGCTTCTGTGTCGTGGCTGTCTGGTGGAATCAACTCAATTGTACAAACCTCACTTGCCATGCGGCTGCCTTTCTGTGGAAATAATCTTATCAGTCATTTCACATGTGAGATCTTGGCTGTCCTCAAATTGGCTTGTGCCGATATATCACTCAATATTATCACCATTATGATATCAAATACAGCCTTCCTAGTTCTTCCACTTCTGGTCATTTTTTTCTCCTACATGTTCATCCTCTACACCATCTTGAGAATGAACTCAGCTGCAGGGAGACACAAGGCGTTTTCTACCTGCTCAGCTCATCTTACTGTGGTGACCATATTTTATGGTACCATCTTCTTCATGTATGCAAAACCCAAGTCTCATGACTTGATTGGAAAGGATAATTTGCAAATTTTGGACAACCTCATTTCTCTGTTTTATGGGGTAGTGACTCCTATGCTAAATCCTGTTATCTATAGCTTAAGGAATAAAGATGTGAAAGCTGCTGTAAAATATCTGCTTAAACAAGTGCATATTCAATGGCTGTAAAGATGGACTTATACATAATAAGTCAGTGAGAGTATCTTTTTTTTTTAAGTCCTTGGTGGTTAGGAAGAAATTTTTATTCTGCTCAGAGAATTACTAAGAACCTTAGATTTGTTGAAAATTACACTTCCACTATGTCTTTGTATAGATATCCAGATTAGAGTTCCATGGGAACGTCTTTCCTAGTGATACAGGAAATAATGTTTTTTTCCTGGTTGACTGTACAGTAACAGTAGAAAAAACAGTCAGACATAAGGTTTGGAAATTGAGAGGAAATGTTGCCAAATTTATAATTATCCCGTCCAAATGATGATTGATGTCTTGGTTGTTCTTTAAAATCCTTGATTATCTTACATGTGAGTGTGAGTATGTTTGTGAAAATAGGATGGACTTTAAAACTGTGATAGGATGGTATTCTGAGCAGAGCAAAGCTTCAGGGTTCAGTTTGTTAGCCACAGTAGTGGACTAAATGTGGTAGCCATGTCAGCTATTTAATTACTATCAACGTAGTAACTCACCATGAATGAGCTTCTATTTGGCTTCTCAAGCTATCTGTGGTGAACGTTATGTAGGCAAATACAATTTGGAGTGCCATAACCTCTGCAGCTGCAGACACCCAAAGTAGTGGTTTTAAATCAGATGTTATTTGTGCAATTAGAAGATTTTGATGAAATCAGGTTGTTTTTGACAGGTCCTGATAGAAGCTGACATGTGGTTGGAGAACATAAACTCCAAAAGAGCATTTACTTTTTTTTCCCCAGCAAAATATGTGTGTGTGTGGCATAGATCACAAATTAAACTGAGAGTGGTAGCATTCAGTGGTATTTACTCACTGGAAGGATCTGCAGTTCCTCAAGTCATTCCTTGATTTATGGCATGCAGTCAGTGGCATAAAAGAACTTAAGATAATGTTGGCAGTCTTGCAGATGGCAATAAATGTAAGCATCAGTCTGCTGCTCCTTGACAGAGCTGAGCCAATTCCTACTATTAAAATACTGACAGAAGAAGCCACTTACACGCATACCTCAAAATGCAATGCAGCCTTGACACTGAGTTTACTCTTTACTCACAGTAAATAATGTTAAAGGGAATCAGGTTTTAAAATGAATTACAATGGTCTCTCTGATATGACTTCATCTTACTTATCAGTTCAGTAGGGAGGGTGAAGAGGGAAGCTGATAATAATGTTAGCTTTCTGAAGTCGCTTTTAATTTTTGTCCTGAGAGCTATTTCATGCTACCTAGACTTGTAATTTCTTGTCATTTTCTGAAAGAGCTCAGCATCCCTGTAAATGTGATACTAGTTCTCTTTTAACCTGTGCCAAAACTTGTGCCAGATGTGTGAAGAGAAGTTTGGCTTAAGAAGGCCAAGGATGTGAGGAAACTTCTAGTAATTATTGTGGCTTGCCTCTCTGACCTTCACCCCTCCCATTCTTTCCTCTACTTTATTTTCTTAATATTTTTAATCCAATTTATTATAGAGAATTATAGTATTCTTTAATGAACACTCTGGGTGGTTTTTGTAATGTAGAAAATTTGAGAAAAACGGACATCTTTGGTTAAAGTCTTCAGTTGTAGATTCAGAGAGATTTAGATGTAAAGGAAACTATTAGTGGAGGATATTAAGAGTGTAAATTACTCCTCAGTTGTATCAGCACACACAGTTTAGTTGGAAGACATAGACCTGAAGAAAAGATAGCTGATTCAGGAAAGCATTTTCTACACTTTAGATTCTAAAATAACATACATGGACATTTTCCCACTTCTTAATTTAATAGCTTAGAATTGGATGAGCACACAGTGGCAATGGCCTAACCGTATATGACTGGTAAAATGCAGAGAAAATGTTGACTTTATGGTGATAAATAAGATCCATAGCAAATTTAGAGATTAAACTGTTCTCATATATTTTCAGTCTAATGCCTAAAATGTTAGAACCTATTACTGATATCAGTTGCTAAAAGTCAGAGTTGCAATTATTCCAAAGCTTACAAATTCTCTTCAGTCAATAGAATGCACTAGTGCAGATGTCTCTACCTTTCTCTTTCCTAATTTGACAATGATATTATAATCGTCTATTTGCTACAGTGCCTATCAAATGTATAACATTTTCTGAGATGAAAATGCCACATGGAAAGGCTAAGTATATAATGAGGTTGAATCTTAAAAAGACCTAATGTGCCCAAGTGTGAAAATAAATAGCAGTAATAATAATTTCATTATTATGTGCACTATCCACATTAGATGACACAACTCTATTTTACTGTTACTTGCGGTTTTCAATATAATGTCTTTGGAAGCTAAATCACATTGTTTCATTTGTAGCAGAGACTTCTCACTGAAAGTAATCTACATGTTGTATAAATGATCAATCTTATTTGAGTTATTCTGAGCTACATAAAGTTACTGACTATAAGATATGAGAAGGCTAAATGGGACTGAGGTTTTTTGAAAGGGAACAGGATGCTTGTTTTAGGAAACAAATAGGTAAGTCTTAAATTCTTTTGTTCAAAAATATTTTTTTAAAGATTTACTTTTATTATTTTGTTTATTGGAAAGGCGGATATACAGAGAGGAGAGACAGAGAGGAAGATCTTCCGTCCGATGATTCACTCCCCAAGTGAGCGCAATAGCCAATACTATGCCGTTTCAAATCAGGAGCCTTTTCCAGGTCTCCCACGCGAGTGCAGGGTCCCAAAGCCTTGGGGCGTCCCTGACTGCTTTCCCAGGCCACAGGCAGGGAGCTGGAAGGGAAGCGGGGCTGCTGGGATAGAACCGGTGTCCATATGGGATCCCGGGGCGTGCAAGGCGAGGACCTTAATCACTTGCGCCATCACGCCGGGCCCCAAAAATATTTTTGTAGTCCTATTATGGATGCCATTACAGATATATTGATATCAAACAAGATTTGCATTTATATGCAAATCCTCAGTCTCATTGAGATTAATTCCTGGGTTTATAATAGAAGAAAAAAATATGTAGCTTAAGATTTATTTAAAGATGAAATAAGGCAACATGTAAGGATATCATGTTCATGATCCGTGTCATCTCGTGTAAGACTGTATCAGGCCTTCTCAGAAAACACATCCCAATGATGAATTCTAAATGACTTACTATCAATGATGGTACAACTTTAGAAGGAGAAATAATAAAAGCAGCAACTTACATCTTTTATTAGTCAAGCACTGTCATTTTTGAAATTGTATCTTCAAGGTAGTTATTTTTTGCCATTCTTTTTCTTTTGTTTTGGTTTTAAAGATTTATTCATATTTTATTGAATTCTCTAACTCTGTTCCTGAATTATGTTATTAAAGGGAAAAATTGTCCTTGCTACCTTACCACAAGTCAATGTAAAAAAGTCTTTTTTTTCTCAAGATTTATTTTATTCTTATTGGAAAGTCAGGTATACAGAGAGGAAGGTCTTCCATCCAATGGTTCACTTGAAGAAGCCGCAACAGCTGGAACTGAGCCAATCTGAAGCCAAGAGCTAGGAACTTTTTCCAGGTCTCCCACATGGGTACAGGGTCCCAAGACTTTGGACCATCCTCAACTACTTTCCCAGACCACAAGCAGGAAGCTGGATGGGAAGCGGGGCTGCTAGGATTAGAACTGGTGCCTATGTGGGATTCTGGCGCATTCAAGGCCAGGGCTTTAGCTGCTAGGCCATCACACCAGGCCCTAGCTGTTCCTAATATATAAGGAAATTACATATGAAATTTATAAGTTAAGGCACTATATGAAATCCTAGATGGATTTTAACATTGACTCATATACTATCATACATAAATGCATTTGAAAATATCGTTGAATCAAGAGTCCAGGAGGAGTGAAGAGAAAAGTAGAAGGGCAATATGGCTTAGGACATCAGAACAGGAGCAGGAAAAGAGTGTTCCCATGAAGGATGATCCTGGAAGCATGACTGAGTCCAAGAAGAGGAGGCGACTTTGACTTGTGAAGCCAGCCTTCCATGAGCTAGCAGAATCTGTGCGATGTAAGAGGCATGTAAGTGGCAGACAAGCCTGGTGTGTAGCATGTGCTCATTGGTAGAGTAAGAGATGGTGGATAAGTGTAGGAGATTTGAGCACAAGTAAACCCAGAACATGTTGTGAGAACCTGAGTAGGGAGAGAGGGTGTAGATGACATTGGAGATGGAAGACTGACTACACATAGGAAGATTATTAGGAAGTGTGGAATATGAAATAATGGAAAAGTGTTTGAGATGAGAGAAACCAAGGTTTTTACTGTCAGATAAGACACTTAAATATAGAAATGGAAGAATGTAGAATGAAATCTATGCCAAAATATTAGTATATATCAGTTTGAACAGGTTTTTGATGTTATTAATAGACATAAGTAGATTTGTGTGTTCTATTTATATATCCCATTTCTACTGGGAGAATCATTGTCTCATTATAAGGATTTTTCATATCTGCTGGGTAGGAAAAGCACACTCATTGCATCCCCCAAATCCTCTAAAAGTAGACCTCACAAATTGTTCCACCAGGAAGATTAAGATTTTTTTGATGAGCTCTCTCCCATCTTCTGCTGCCCCATTCCCACCTCATATTTCTTTAAAATTTTGTTAGTTCAGAACCCTTTCCTGAGAAACAAATGTGCTTTTAGGGTTTCTTGCGATGATCACTTGCCTTACTTTAGTGACTCTCTTGCCACAGTTTTCAGCATCTTTAGTGGCTGTGATTTTCTCTTCTACCTCAGGGGTTTGCTGGGCCTGAGGTCTCAGTAGAGAACCCAGTGTTTTGATTGACTGCTGTGCAATGCACATACCTGTATTCTCATGACCCCTGCCAACATCTTTAAGGTTTCCATTCTCTGTAAATTGAATGTACTGAATGTTAATCTACATGACTCATTCTCTATTAAACCCAAATCTGATAGCTATTTTCTGTTCACTATCCCATGATGGTATAATTTTTGTTTTTCTTTCAAATCCAATGCAAGTTGAATCATGATCACAAAACCTTCTAGGTTCATTTGCTTCACACA